CGGGGGGGGGGGGGTCTGCCCTGCACAACCCGTGTGGACCCCCGGAGTGCCGGCTAGGTGGACACTAGGCGGTGCACCTAGCAGACATTCCGGGCGGTCCACACAGGGAGTGTTTGCCAGCAGACCCCCCCCCCGGTCTTACCAACAGACAGTAGACCTACGGTACTGCGATTCGAGACGCCAAGCAGAATGGTTGCCCTCGAGAACGCCGCTCTCGCTGTTGATGGTCGCCGTGTTTGCTGCTTCCCGGCTCGGTCCAGGTGGGGGTGAGTGATGTCGTGGAGGAGGGGCGGTTCCGTTGCCGGGTGTTTGGGGTACGCGATCCCGCCATCCCGGGAGATCATTCACCCTCCGTGTCTGGCACGTGCCAGACACCTCTGGGAGTCACCAGTCACCACCCCCCCCCGTTATCCATACTGGTGAGTGGGGTCGTTCCTCCTGGTTTGACGGGTGCTGCGACACACGCTCGCTCGCTCCACGCTGCAGTTGATGAAAGTCTTGAGATGGGGCTAGGGCTGTCTACAGACCGGGCTGAAAGATGGTGGTCGTACAATGGCCCTGGGTGCTGTGGACTACTGAACGGATCTTCTACCGGCAGGCGAGCCTCCTGCAAAAAGAGACCTTCTATTTCTGGTTGATGCGATAGTAAATGTCACCTACCAGTACGCGCGTCTCCCGTTAAAACATCTTCTGGTTGTTGTGAGCGAAAACAAAATCGAGTGCTCGCTTCGGCAAATATAATGGACTGCGTGTCTTTGTTTCATTCAGATTATTATTCCGATTACTGAGAGTATGTTTTTGGCGTCCGTTCGGCTGTCCACTGGGGGGGGGGGGCATGTGCCATCGATATCTGCAGTTGTTCGGCCGTAGAGATAACTATATGACGAAACAAGGCTTCCCCGTTGGGGCACACAGAACTGTTTGACTCCCCCCAACGACATCGGCAGCTGAAGACGCGACTGCTTTTCGACCCCAATCACCGCCTACCTGCATGGCGATGTTGTAGTTGAACGCGGTGCGAGTGACGCCTTCCTTCTTCATCGTATTGAGCAGGGCCAGGGACAGCTGCCAGTTGCCCCCCGCGGCGCAGGCTCGCATGGCGTTCCCGTAGCACCGGGCGTCCGGGTACATCCGCGCCTGCCGGCGACATCGTGGGTGTGACGGCAAGAAAAAAAAAAACAGAAGAAATGAAAAACAGACAGAGGCGCCGGTCAGGATGGAGGATGGCAACAAAATCCGGCGACAACGTGGGGCGCGGCGACGGCAAAAAAAAAAAAAACAGACTCAGCCGCGGGTCAGTCAGGATGGAGGATGGGGACAAAAACCGGTGAAAACGCGGGGTGCGACGGCAAGAAAAAAAAAAAAAAAACAGACAGACAGAAACGTCGTTCAGGATGGAGGATGGCGACAAAACTCGATGACGACGCTCGGTGCGACGACAAGAAAAAAAACAAAAAAAGACAAACGCCGTCACAACGGGCGATGACGACAAAACTCCGGTGACAGCGCGGGGTGCGGCGACGGCCGAAAAGAAAAAAGCAGATAGAAACGCCGGTCAGCATGAAGGATATGCCGACGAAAATTCGGTCAAGACTAGGGACGTTCTCTCAACCCAGCGCAAAGGAATACACGGGCAACTTGGAGAAGAGCACAAATCTGGCCCGGAAGAAAAAACGAAAAACGATCGTTGGTGCTGCCGCCGGAGAGCAGCGGGTAAGGTGGGTGAGGCACACACATCCACTACCTGAACGGCAAAACAACAAACAGGCAATCACATTGATCATGTGAGCTTGCGCGCGTCCCGTCGTCATCGAACTTTCTGGCGTGCCGTGGACCACGACCTGCTGTGGAACGCAGGACTCGCACACGTTACCCGTTCGAAAAAAAAAAAAAGAAAAAAAGACACACATATGATGAAACGTGCGCAACACCGCCATCTCTTTGGATAAACCATACCGTTGTTCTGCGGTATTGGGTGTAGAGGCTCCCGAAGAAAAGGCGCGGATTTTCGCAAAACCGCCCGCCCGAACCTTGACGGAGCTTTCGTCGATCCGCACTACAAAAGCACACAAACCTGGCGCATCTCGTCCAGCAGGGAAACAGCCTTTTGCCATTCCCCGTTCACGGCGCACGCCTCTATCGCGCCCTCGAACCCCAGACTCTGCGCCGCCGCCTCGCTCTTCTCCCTGGCAGCACCATCCATCCCGTCGGAGGGCATACCATCCCCCAGGTACACGCCTCCGCTGCGGCCCGCAGCACCGCCCTGCGCCGCCGCCCGCATGTCGCCCAGCAGACGGAGAGCCTCGGAGGAGCCCCGGCCGCCCTTGGCGAGGGCCTTGATGAGCGCCGCGGTCGCCTCCGCGGGGGGGGAGATGCCCCTGCTCCGCATCTCGTCGAAGAGCTGGCGCGACCTTCTCGAAGAGGAGGGAAGTAAGACAGGATGCGAACGACGACGAAGAACCATGAACCGAAGGGCGGCTTGTGGCAGTGGTATAGTACCTGAATCGTCTTATATGCCCCACACTGCTGTTGGGACACGACAAGAATAGGCTCCAACTCTGTCTCTGTCTGCCTGTCTGTCTGTCTTGTCTAATCTCGATGCCAACCTACTCTCCTGTCTTCCTCGTTCCCCTACCCGTAATCCCGCGCAACAACCACCGTCCCTCTCTCGCGTACCCCCTCCGCCCCACTCGGCCCTACGCAACTACACACCAAATCCCAGGATTCAACCTGCCGCTCACTCTCTGTCTCTCCCTCTTCACCTATCGGGTTCTCCGCCCTTGCCGCAAGCAACGATAAGATGCGTGTATGTCTCCGAGTCCGCCGTGAGCCCCCCAGCGACGCTCTTCACTGCGTTCCTCGCCAAATCCCCCTTCCCCCTGCCTCCTCCGCCTCCGCGTCCCCGCCCCCCCCCGCTCCCACTGCCGGCGGCGGGGTCTTTCCCCGCCCTCATCGGTGCCGACACGTCCAGGGCCTTCTTCCACTTTCCGGCGGACGCGAGGGTGGCCAGCACGAGGTTGAACGTTCGGAGGTTGGGCACGATGGGTGCGGTTGCTACAGCTGTTTCGCCAGCTTCTTCTTCGCTGTCGTCCGGGGGGCAACGCCGAATCACGGGGACAAGGAGGGTGTGTGTGACAAAGTATTCGCAACAGGAGTCAATCTTCTCTATCAATTGGGAGCGCACTGCTGGACGGCCATGGTCATCACCTGCTGCTGCTGCTGCTGCCGCTGCTGCCGCTGGCGGCGGGGGAGACCTTGGCGCCGCGCAAGCCGTCGTGCGCCACGTCGGAGAGGATGTTGCCGAGACACAGGTCCTCCAGGAATCCCACCGCGTTCACGTACCGCTTCCCCTGCTCCGTTTTGGTTTTTAGAGGGGGGCCGTCGCAAGCACGCGTCGACGAGAGGGGGACGGAAGAGGGGAGGGGAGGGGACGGAAACTTCGTGTGATCGACACCAGTAGTAGCAGTGGTCCCAAGCACGCGGGCTTAGGGATGGGGTCAAGAGGGTGTGCTAAGAAAATAGTAGATCGAGTGGAACCGTGCACCCTTACAACGCCGGGACGGAGCATCTCGGATCCTCATCGAACAGACAAGGCTCTTGGGGGGACGGGGAAAGGGCAACTATAACGTGCTCAAAGCTGGACGCTGAAAACAGGAAATCATTTCGGGTCCGATGCGTCGAGTGCTTAAACGCCGCGTCAAGAACGCATTTCTTCCGTGAGTCGCACGCGTACGGCCAACAAAATATGTCCTACGCCTGTTCACGTCACGCATGCCGTCCATACGCGCCGGCCGGGTCACCGACCTTAAGGTAGGCCTCCATCAGGCTGTTGCACAGAGGCAGCGTGGGGTAGACTCCCTCGTCTTGCATCTGGAGAGGGAAGCAAGTGGCGGGTATGGTGCAGACAGTGGGTCGATGCCAGGTGCACCGCCAAGCGCGAGGAGAGCAGAAACGATACCACAGGAACAACATAAAAAACAGGCGTAGGTGGGAAACTTGTGTGGGCGAGTCGGTGGTGCGTTTACCCCAAGCGGCGTGAGCAGACTTCGACGAAGCAGTCGCTGTGCACGAATCAAACTGCGCTTGATAATGATAAGCCGCTCCGCGCCTCCCGCGACTTCTACATTTTTATTTCTCCACCTCCTCCTCTCGGCCTCCTGACCAGCAACGTACGTTTGCTGCATTCTTTGCTACGAAATAACAGCAGTGCAAGAAATTCATCCCAAAAAACAAAAAACGAACAACAAGAGAGAGTGCACCGCAACCTCTCCCACGCATCTCCTATCCACACACCGCCCGCATGTTCGGATCGAAGCCCATTCGCAAAGCAAGGCCAACACGTGAGTTCAACCACCTACAACCTCTTACCTGCTGAAACTTGTCCTCCGCCTTCCTCCACATTTGCCTGCCCCCGTAATAGTCCAAGCGGCCTAGCCACGCCACCTGCTCCTCGGAATGCCCGGCCGCGGGCCCAACGACAATGCCGCCCCCGCCGCCGCCGCTTGCGTTGCCACTGCCGCCATCGCTGCTGACGATGCCGCGCGGTGCTTGCGGACGTCGGGTAACGGGCGCCCTGGGAGTCGTATAGGGGGGGGAGAGGTAAGGGGGCAGTTACACTCCCGACGTACGGCTAACAGCTCGGTCCAATACAAGCAGTTGGTGCTGAGTCGTATAGGGGGGGAAGAGGTAAGGGGGCAGTTAACACTTCACGGGGCTGTGCGTATGTAACGAACGGTATACAGCAGTCGGTGCTGCCGCACCAAGAAACAGAAAGAGGCAGGACTCTGATGGAGATTGATTTGACACCACGCAAACTGGAGTAGGTGTGTCTTACGAACGATGCAGCTAGCAGGGCCGTGTACTGCTGCAACATCAAGAACACAGATGGGTGCGATACTGATCGAGCTTTGACCCGTAGTCTATATGCACACGACACCATGTTTAGAGGGTGTCTCACACGTGGTGCAACTACAGCCGGTAGCAGGCCGTGCACGTAAGGTGGTGCATGTTTTGGTGCATGTTTCTCTCAGACTCAGATGTTGCGCCGACGTGTGCGTCTAGCCAGCAAAATCGCGCATTGGCGACGTCGAGGGAAGCCTGCACTCCCGACATTGGCAGTGTTGCACACACACACGTGGTGACGCCCAAGGTGCACGAGGCCATAGAGATGGATGCCCCACACTCGTTGGCTCTAGCGTCGGGCCGACAGCAGAGATAATTGCTGTTATTGAACGGAGGTTTCCACGTTTCCCGCCACCCACCAACGGCATCGTCCAGCATCGAGTCAAGCGAGGGACCACTAGACGTCCACGAACCTCACACGACAGCACCACTGCACACGGTGATGATCGTGTGGGTGTTGGCACTTGCAGGTGCATGCAAAGTTGAACAACGGTCAGACACCGCTCCGCAATGCAACGGGACACCCACCAGCCACGCTACTCGAGGACAACCCCCCGTATCTGCGGCGCAGCAGCAGTCACCGACCGACCCAACAGCATTCACTCGCTCGCTCGCTCCTGCTGCTGTCATAACTCTCTCTCTCACCGTGACCTCGTGGAAAGCTTCGGGGCTAACGACCGCCGCTCGCGTTGAACGGTCTGCTGCGCGACGAAAGCAACACGGGTGCCAGTGCTGCCAGAAGTGTGGAGGAAAGCGGGTGAGACCGCACTCGCGTGCACCATCGAAAGCCGACGAGCGACCAGAAGCACAGCTGCTGGGACAGAGGAGGGAATGTCAGTACACCTTTGTCGTGCACGACCCATCCACGTTGACGTGACTGTGGTCCTGCGGCCTGTTCGATGAGGGTGAAGGGGCGACGCGGGTGCTGTGGTTCTTGAAAAGAGGGTGGGGAGGCGGCGGGGGCGGGGGCGAAAATGTGCGGCCCGAAGCAGCGCGGCAGTGCCTGTCTGTGTAGCATGCGTGAGTGCCACATTTTACATACAAGGTAGTCTACCGAGGTGATATCCGCAGGAGAGTGAGGGATGCACTGGTAATGGCTTGCTGCTCAGGGTACCTAGAGACGACGTTGTTTTTGTTTGTCGTTGGAAAGAGCGTCTTCTCAACTGGGCACTTATCTTTTTTTACAACGTTGATAACTGCCACACACACCGAAGCATTTGTCGATGGGGAGCCAAATATCCAACTATTGAATATACACTATGATAGCCCGGGAATAGCCCCGGTATCAACTGAAGCCCTTTATTTTTTTCCAGCGGGCTCATAAAGGAAGGGCCGTCTCAGGGCGAACTGCAGAAAATAAGTGTATACATGTCTACTAGGGCAGAAAAGGGAAATAGTGCGGCGTTATTTTTGGGGCCAATTTTCGCCCCGGTATCAACTGAAGCCTGAAGCCCTTTAATCTTTTCCAGCGGGCTCATAAAGGAAGGGCCGTCTCAGGGTGAACTGCAGAAAAATAAAATAAGTGTATACATGTAGGGCAGAAAAGGGAAATAGCGCGGCGGTATTTCTGGGGCCAATTTTCGCCCCGGTATCAACTGAAGCCCTTCTAATTTTTTCCAGCGGGCTCATGAAGGAAGGGCCGTCTCAGGGCGAACTGCAGAAAAATAAAATAAGTGCATACATGTAGGGCAGAAAAGGGAAATAGTGCGGCGGTATTTCTGGGTCCAATTTTCTGGGGCCGAGAAGCTGGGGACAAAATCGAAGATTAGTTCTGAGAATTTCGCCGACAGAAACTGAAGAAGCCTAAAGGGCTTCAGAATAAGGTCGCAGCAACGTATCGTCCGAGTGTTACGGGTGTTAGAGGTTCGATCTAGCTGGCATTGATTCCTCTCAGCCTACGCCCCCTCATGAGCGATGACGGTCAAAGCGTTCACAGCTTTCAGAGATGAAAGACATGTTGTTGTCGTTCTTCTCTCTCTCTGGACAGCAGTTGAACTCACTTCCTCACCGAGATGCTCCACTAACCCATCTCGCCGGTCTGTGTTAATTCAGAAATATGTTTCTCATCACTCGCTGCTTCTATTTCGTCGGTTCTTTTGGGTTGGCAACAACACCATTTGTTTGCAGTGGTTGGGGAAAACGTGCAGCCCTTGCAACCTCGCGTATATTGGGCACAGAACTGTCGGTTGGCACCCTGCAACCTCTCTGAGTGACAGTTGGCAACGTCCTGAGTGGAAACAGACGGCATTATGCCTTGCGGCTTGTCTCCTTCGAGCCCCGACACCCTCTCTACGACGTAGACGAAATATGCCCTAGTGCCTCCGTAATACACAGAACTCGTCGCAAAAAAAGGTGCTTTCTCACGTCTGACGAGATTTGAATAATAGATAGATGCACACAGAATCGGCGGCGAACCCCAAGAATTTTCAGCTTGCTGGCGCCTCTGCAAGCACTGCTCGCGAAGCCTCGATCGCGCGTTCGACGCCCTCCCTGTTTACGTCGAGATGCGTCATGGCCCGTATCGTGCTTCCCCCGAAGTACCCCGAGCCCATCAAGACTCCATGATCCCGCTCGAGGGCGTCCACGAACGCCTGCGCATCCATGCCAGTCACCTGCAGCAGGTGTCATCGGATTTGGATCATCAATAAACCACCCACAACCTAGCAGCAACCGAAGATGAAACAACGTTTGGACGGTCTCAAAATAAACCCACTCGCGTAAGGCCTTCGTTGCGCTACATCCGCGCTGCAAGCGTTTCTTCGCAGCCAACGGACCGACGTTCCGTGTCCTATGGTAACGCCTTTGTACAACGCTCTATACGATAGCGGCAGCGACACAACCCCCACCTGAAAGTACACCGCGTTCGTGTCTCCTGGAGAACGCTCGGCACTAATCCCACGCAAAGCGCCAAGCCCGCTGGCCAAGGCCGCGGCGTTGTCATGGTCCTGTTTCGGTGCCCACCGAAAAATGTTGTCACGATGAACAAACGCGCACACCATCGTAGAGCGACAGACAGCGGTATGAGGACGTCACCCCTTACAACATCGCTGGGGGGGGGGGGGTCGGCAAATGCGAACGAAATTTCGCCATTTTGCGGTTCCACAGGGGTGTATGCTCCTGGCGGATGAGGTACACCTCTGCTCGTGTGTATGCGATGAGAGACGGCGTGCGTTCGTAGCTCAAATGTCTTTGTGACAAAGTCCCAATGAGATAAACACCATTGGGACTACTTTTTCTTATGACTATCCGGAAACATTGAAGTGCTATTGGCGTATGTGCCACAAAAAATTGAAATGATTCGCGCGATGACAGGGCAGGCCGTGTGCGTTCGTAAACGATTGGCCGGTGCGACATAAAGCACCTCGACAAACGGCAGAGAGTGAAAACGCTGCCGGTTACGGCTTTGAAACCTTCCTCGCGAATCCGGAGCACGTGCGTATGTTTGAACTGCTGTGCAACCGATGCCTGACACACCACGGGGCACGCGCTTGTGTCTTGTCTTGTGGCCGAAGCAAGCGGCACGAAAGGAAAAGACAGACATCACGACAGTCCAACACATACGTTTGGGGGGGGGGCAGGTGACACACGACCATACAAAAAGGCTGAGCAACTTGGGTTGGTACTGTTGTACGACAAAAACACGCGGGGGGGGATGACACAAGAGTACACAAACACACGGTTGGAGCGAGGAGGGGGGAGTTGAACATTGCTGTCTGCACGGTTATATTGGGTGTTTTTATTCACGAATGTACTGATTTCTCCGACACTACATCATGGGGTCGACGAGTGTAAGTAACGGCTGAACCCTTCTCGGGGCAAAAATATGAAGGCAACCACAATAGCAGCGGGACGTGGAGAACAAAAAAATACTCTTCCTGTTGCGTGGCCTTCCTCCTGTATGACCCTGACTGATACGTCTACATGCGTACACCAAAACGCGTAGCCTCACGTCCAGAACCGAAGAAATGGTAGCACGCACAATACCTACATATCTGTAGGTTGGCTGTGTTTCGATTTTTTTCGGGGTATCTTTTACTTTTTTAAGTTTTGGGGACGCAACATGTATCAGACAACAGGGTGGGATTGTGTAAGGCAACAAGGATGCCAAAGGGTTGTGCACATATCGTACCTCCGACAGCCGAACATAGTTGTTGACGACCGCCTCTAGACCCGCCGCGGCTATGACTCCCGACTGGCGCATGCCCCCGCCCAGAGACTTTCTCAAGCGACGTGCCTACAGGATCGAAGGCACAAGAAAAATCAAGGTTCGCCAGGGAGAGGACAGGAACAAGGACGTGGACCGTACCAGCACATCCAAAGGGTAAGAAGCGGCCTCGTACAGGGCAAGAGTATTGCAAAAGTAGTGGCCCTGCACATCAAGACGTGTATCCCCTAGCTTATCACCTCATAGGGCGCGGCTTATCACCGTATAATAATGCGCCTGCGATGGAAAAGGTTGGCTGCTGAGCTCCAAAGCACCCCGACAACGTGTTCATCAGCACGAGATGTGCAATGACTGCCCTGCTCGTTCGGCATGTAAAAAAAAAATAATAATGGGACGGGGGAACGGAAGGACCTCACGCACCGACTCCTATGGGCCGCAGTGACCATTCGCAATGACTATTCACCGCCCTGACCAGAGCGCCATTCCGTGCCTCACAACTACCGTGACCTCAACGATGCTGCCATCCGTGCGATTTCCCGACAAAAAATAACAACGAGGGTGACGCCAAACGACGACAACAACAACACAACACCGACCCGTCCACCTGTCGAGCAAACAAGAGAGACCGACATACGAAAATCGGATGGGCACGCGACATATGACCTACAAAAAAATCACCACGCCACATCGTAGTTCTCCACGAAGAACGTACTGCACGTCATACGACCGACCTCCAAGATATGCGAGCGTCATGCACAGCCCTCGTTCACGTTAAGCAATCAGCAAAACCGCGTACGCACAAATACGAACCTCGTAGATGAACTGCTCTGAGCCCACGAGGACACTCCCCACCGGTGCCCCTAGCCCCTTGCTCAGGCAGACCGACACGCTGTCCGCGTCGGAAACCAGCTCCGACGGCCGGACCTCGAGGGAAACAGCTGCGTTCCAGAGCCTTGCGCCTGTTGCGGCGGCGCAAAATGCGGGCGAAAGGCAGCACCGGTAATGTACGTCACGGGTAGTACAAGATTGCACGGTACGCAGGCACGACAAAACCACAACATGCACCAGGACGCCCCCAAGACTTGTACCATGTAGAGCACAGCAGGGTGAAAAGAGAGAGAGAGAGGCGGGCACACATCGAGAGAGACCGATAGAGGGGAGTAAAATCCTTCAATACGCTCGACCGCTCCCCACAGGCGACGTCATGGTCTTGTGCCTGCGCGCCACACACAGGTGATGTCGAAAGACTTACCGTCGACGTGCACCTTGAGGCCAGCGTGACGTCCAGCGGCGCACATCTCAGCCATCCGTGACGCGGCGATGGCCCGCGCCCCGCACAAGTTTTGCGTGTTTTCGAGACACAGTAAGGACGACCTTGAGAGACACAACACAGCGCGGTGGGGCACAGCGAAGGCACAGCCAACACGCCCAGAATCACGTGCGACGGGCGCGGGAGTTATCGGCATTGTCGTGCGCAGTCGTGGCTGTGGATGAGGGGTTGCTGGTGGAGGGGGGATAGTGCCAGATTGCACCCCCCGGCTTTCAGATCAACCTGGTGCCAAGTCGCAATCAAGTAGTGCCATCATGCCGTTCTCGTGCCACATCCACGCTCGGCTTGGCCATCTACTTAGTATGATCCCCTCTTCTTGTGTCGTTGTGTGCCGGGCAAAAAAGCCAGCTAGAGGGTAGAGGAAACCCTCCCGCACTCCCGAGCTAAAACACGCAACCGTCTCATCCCATGGGAGCACAACTGACGACGCCGATCGCTATCCGTGCTGCCTTGTCTTCGTTGCCCCATGTACCCGTTGTTACCGGCCCTTTGAAAACAGTTCGCGCCTTGTTCCTCGCCTTGTGTACGTACACCAACGTGGATGCTTGTTTTACTGCCGTCTCTCTGTGTACATCGCCCCCGGTGCCGACCCGCCTGCCGGTCTTTATTATTTGAAAACAAAATCTCTTGCACCGCCAAAACCTCTCACCTCGGATAGTGCGGGTCGTCGCCACGGACGGCAGTCTGTATGTCCGCGACTTCCAGCCCCCCGTCCTCGGCGTTGCGGACCGTGTGGTAGGAGACCCCCATCAGGGCGGAAGCCCCCGCGCCCTCGTACTGAAAGATGTGCGACTTGTCTCCGAGGATGAGCTCGTCTCCTCGACGGCAGTGCGCGCCCACGGCAATCAGGTTCCCCATCGTGCCGCTGACGTTCGAGAGAGTTTCGACAGCAGTGGGTTTGGTGGATGGTTGGCTGGGACGAGTGGGGGAGGGGGGGGGGGGACAACAGCAGTGGTGCTAATGAATCCTTGACAACAACGGGCGGCTGTGGCAACCATGTGGTTGTAATGGCACCGCATTTCTCTAAACCTTCGAGGAGAGCAAAGCAAACTGAACGAGCGACTAAACAACAAGCTGCCAGCATGAGGAGAGTCACGGGGCATAAACGTGAACGCTAAACACCCCTCATATCCCCTGCTATCTTCTCGTTTGTACTCTTCGTTCCCGTCCAAACAAGAACGTGCTTGTATCAGTAAAAGCGGCGCTGTGCTGGACATGTCTAATACTCCAATAGAGAGTACTGTAGTCCGCGCAGCATGCAGACGGTGACGACCGAAAGACAACCAAAAATCACCTCGGCACCAGGAGCCCCTTCTCTTTACCGAGCAGGTAGGCTACGCAATCCTCCAGCCTAACCACCGTCGGATCCTCTCCAAACACGTCGTCACCGACCTCGGCACCGGCCATAGCGGCCCGAAGCCTCTTGCACGGCTTCGTCATCGTGTCGCTCCGAAGGTCTACTGCTGCTGTCGGCGCGGCTCTGGAAGCGCCGGCGGTCGAATCAGAGGAGCTGCTGCTGCTGCTGCTTTTCGCCGGTGCCTCGTGATTGGTGACGGTCACCGTGGTGAGCTGTTGCAGCTGCCCCTTCTGATGCCACAAGGGCGCGGGGATCCCTGCGGGGCTCGCGCCCGCAACATAACCGCTTTCTGCGTTACTGTTGTCCGTGCGGTTGCTGCTGTTGCTGCCGCTGCTGCCATGGCTCGGGTGCCTTCCTTCTGTACCGAGGAGGAGCGAAGCAAACCTCCGCCTTGATGCATGTGGTGCTGCACCGTTCGGGATACCCCGGGCTACTACCGGCGATGATGCTAGCATATGCATCGCCTGCCCTCTCATGTTAGCGTAGATGATGTTGATGTCCAATGAGTACCGGACAAGGTATTGTAGATTTGCAACGAGATCGATCGGGATGCGTTTAGCAGCAGTTCTTGTGCACGAGGAAACGACGGCGCGAGCGTAGAGGGGGCTCGCTCTCGTGTTGCTACGTAAATTACGTGCACATCACAGCTCGATGCGACGACGGGCGGCGATGCGGCGATGCGGCGTCGTACATAGTTGGGGTTCCAAAGGAAACCCAAACGCCTACGACTAAACCCCGACCGCATAGACAATCAATTTCGGGCGCGAATATTTGCAATCCATGGATTATAGAAGAGAACCACAGTCCAAACATCCATATGGATCGAAACCCCGGGAAACCGCCCGGAGTGTCCCCGAAGAGGTTCTTCTCCCTCTCCTATAAAAGCAGCGATAATCACGGCGGCGGAGAGCCGTCTGAAGGCGGCGACACGCACCCGCACGCTGGGGGAAGACGAGGAGACAACACACAACGATAACTGGTGAGATCCCGTCCCGACAGGCGTCCGTGCATCCTCTGTGTCTGTGCCTCACCCTCACCCTCTCTGTGATGTTTTTTTTGGAAATAAAATAGCAACGGCCGCACCCGCACCAGCGCCATGTGTGTGTTGGTCTGTCTCCTGTGTTGCAGCCTCCCTCATGCTGTCCCACGTGTCGATGCTGCTCTGTACCTGTTGTTGCCGTCGTACGTACGTTGGTGATCATGTGCCTGCACTGGTGTGGTCAGGCCAGGCCAGGCCCTGCCTGTTGTCCTTGCCGTATAGTCCGGAGTCTTTTCTTCTGGCTGCTCGGCTGTATGGTGGTGCTACAGCAGTGCTGGGCTGGTAGAGGTGCAGGCATTGTGCACGCACTTGCCCAACCCCCTTAACTTCATGTGTCTACCCTCCATGTTCGCGTCGTGGGACCCGTGGCCTGCCGTGCGGTAGTGTCATTGCTAGGAATGCTTCCATCCAGTGCTGCTCTGTCGGCCTCTTACGGTGCTCGTCATGCTGGCGCTGCGGGAGCCTTTGCGGGCTACCCTGTACAAGCCCACCCCGTACAGCAACAACAGCAGCAGATATTGACCACCAGCCCTCCGCCGGAAACGCAGGCGAGACGGGTTGATGTTTGACAAGTGCGGTTCGACGTGACACCGGCAATGTTTGTTCCGTGGGTGTAGCACGCCAGTGGATTGTCGCTGCTGTGCTGTACCTCGTGCCTTTCAACGCGTGCACGTACGGTTCGCTGTTTTCGTGTACTCAGCGGTGGACGGCGAAACGTTTCATTTGTCTTGTCTTGTGATCAAACGTTGACATGGTGTCCTTCCATTCCGCCGCGTGGTGGGTTTCGCGTGCGGTTGCAGGCCATGCTTTCACCTCGCACTGGTCTGCCGTTGGGAACTCCGGCCCCTGTGGGTGCTCCCGATGCTGGGGCCGCCGGAGGTTTTGCGGGCTACCCTGTACAAGCCCACCCCGTACAGCAACAACAGCAGCAGACATTGACCACCAGCCCCCCGCCGGAAACGCAGGCGAGACGGGTTGGTGCTTGACACGTGCCGTTCGGCGTGACACCCACAATGTTTTTTTGTGTGCTTTACTTGATGTTGCTGCTGCTGTTCCCCTTGGCCCCATGAAAAGAGCACCGGTATCTGGCATTCCCCCGGTCCACATCAAGGCTCCCTGTAGAGGCCCTGCCATTGTTTTCGTGGGTGTAGCACGCCAATTGATTGTCCCTGCTGTGCTGCACCTCGTGCCTTTCAACGCGTGCACGTTCGGTTCGCTGTTTTCGTGTACTCAGCGGTGGACGGCGAAACGTTTCATTTGTCTTGTCTTGTGAATCAAATATGGGGCAAGGAAGATTGAACTCGTTGGAGTAGGTCTACAGTGGCTCCCGTCGTATCCCACGGTTTGTCATGGTTGGTAGTCATGATGCCGCATGACGAACGGCCCTTGAAGCGTGGTACTGCTGTCGCCTCCACATTGTTACCCTGTTTGTCTGTGACACGCCACTTATTTTTGTGCTCCCGGCTCTCCCATACGGCGCAGGTCATGGGATGAAGCCAAAAGAGGTGACGAAAGCAATGAAGGCGTTGCACGAGGACAGCGACATCGACATCAACAAGCGCGCGGTGCAGAACGCAGCTGCCATTGTGCACGGGGCGGAGAAGCCGAGAGATGCTGCCGATGCGTACGAAGAGGTGTGTCCATGTGTCCGTTGAGACTGTTGCCTCTCTTGTTTGTGTGTGGGATGTTGGGTTTTGCTCAAGGCGGTATCCGGGCGACAAGACACATACGATCGCAGGTGACAACCGGGAGAATATATGCCCCATGACACCAAACCAAGAAATGTTGGAGGTAAAAAATGTGTGCCGTGCCGTCGTCGTGGTTTTGCGCTGATGCCCTCGATGTTTCCGGGCGCTTAACATGTTGCAATTTCAGGTCATGGCCGCGACGGCCGACGGCGGAGTGTGCGAGATCAAGATGGATGACAGCGGCCGCCTGACGCACATCTGGTGGCAAACGAGAGAGCAGGTAGGTCGCCGGTCGTTGTGCCCCATACGAATATTCCCCAGCCGGAAGGTTTGCTTTCATTTTAGCATCTCGCACGTACCGCTTCGCCGTCCGCAAATGTAGGACGTCTGACCGAAAGCACGCCGTAGGCAAGGGTGGGGGTGCGTTGTGACGCGTCCAACACACGTCACACCCACAATTAAGTGCTCTCGATCCCCTTCGACGTCATGCTCCGAATACGCAGGTGGCGCTTTGGAATCGGTACGGTCACGTTGCGCTCTACGACGACACCGCTGTCAAGAACAGATACCGTATGCCTCTCGGTGTGCTCGCTGTCGTCGATTCGGAGTATCGGACGCGGATCGTCGGCCAAAGCATAACGGCCGACACCACAACGGACACTTTCCTGTGGATGTTGAAGAGTGCGTTGGAGTCTCGCGGGAAGCAGCCGGATACCTTCATCCAGGACGCGGACGCGGCGATGACGGCGGCGGTGCGAGAGGTGTTCCCGGACGCGCTGGCGAGGCGCAATTTATGGCACCTCAACCAGAACGTTATCAAGGCCCTCGCTAAAGTCCTTGGTGGGTACATGAAGGTGCGCTCTACTGTGTGTGTTGGCGTGGTTAGTCTGGCCTCTCGTATTGTCCTGGTCGCGCGACGTACGCTGCCCACTCTAGCCCCCCTCCCCCACTCCCGCTTGTATCCCCTGTGCGAGTTGGTGCGTTGTCATGGATCAGTGTCGCCTACTTGGAAGAGTGATATCCAGCGTCTCTGCGTAGACCGTGATGCGGAGACGACCTCGGCTTCGACGGAAACATACCTCACGACGTCCAGTGCACACAGAAAAAGCAGCAGCAGCAGCAGCAGGTTGTAAGCACCAATGGTATGTCGCTGAGTTTTTTCAACCCTCTCCTCGTCTCGCCTTAGCGCTAACGAAGTGTACGGGGTTGTTGGTGGCAGTCAATCGTACAGACCGGTAGCCCATATCGCAAAGGCCCCAACTCACGCAACACCCACCCGGCCCACGTCGTTTGTGTTTTCCGCAGCCTTTCATGGACGAGTTCAGGTGTGTGCGTCAGCAGCTGTCATTGGCGAAGTTCGAACGGAAGTTCAACGCCCTCATCGAAAAGTACCCGAAGGCGGAGAAGTACATGCAAGTAGTATATGACGACCGTGCACGGTGGGCGGAATATGTGTCGCCCCTGGTGTTCTCCGTGGGTTCGTGGACGACATCAAGAGTTGAAGGTGCGTGTATGCGTCATCTGCCATCATGAGCGTTTTGTTCGAGAACGACAGCGCATATAGCGTTGTCGTTGTTTTTGGGAGTTTTTCTACGTCTGTAGGGGTTGGGGGCGGCTATCTTCCTTGCCCCCTATTTACTATGCCATTGGTGAGTGCTTCTGGACGAATTTATCGTACGCCGTCAGTGGATGACCAGTAAACAACTCCCTACATGACGCTAATGTTTACGACCTCTTCGAAACATGTGGCTGTTGTCCGGCCCCTGTTGTTCGGGATTGATGTACTTGGTCGGTGCACTGCGATCGTCCGGCTCACGTGTACATACATCTGTGGCGATGGGTGCGTCAAGTCATAGGCTTCTCTTTCAGTCGTTTGGCGTACTGCGACTTCAACGATGTCTGATGACACCAATCACTAACCTACGGTTTGGTTTGTGTGTCGCTTCTTGCGTGTTTGTCCGCCGCACACACAACAGGCCAAAACGCCCTCATCAGGGATAGGTGCAACTCGCGCTCCTCGCTTTTGGACGTGGCGAAGTACTTTTCGGGCATCATCTGTTCCCAGAAGGATGCCGCCATGCTGCGTGACGCAATCGACCATCTGCCGCCTAATCGGATGGCGGCTCCACCAGCGACCGCTTTCAAGAGTGTGCTCGAGTCCTGCGAGTTCTCCATCGCGGGCTGGCCGCGGCGGTTCATGGAGCAAGAGATGACCGCGGCCATCACGTTTTGCCAGATGGGTGGTGGGGAGGTGGATGGACCAGAACGCGCGGCAGCTTCGGGGCGCACGTTCGAGTACATCGAGGACAAGCTTTGCGACGCCATTTACGTCTTCGGGATTCACGAGCAGCGTGATGACAAGGCCTTCGACTACCTCGTCTTGCTCTTTTCCGACGGTAGCCATCTCTGCCAGTGCCGCACACTCCAAAACTCTCAGGCTATTTTGTCGCCATGTGTGGGCGGCGATGATGTACAGCCCCCCGATTCAGATTCCACGTAGGCCTCCTGCACGAGCACTGGCTGACGGAAAAGGCGAGGGGAACACCGCAGCAGGACTGGCCGGATGTCGCCCGCCCTCGGTGGGTGGTATCCAACCGCCACGCTGCGAGAGAAGTGGACGGGGCGGCGGGAGAGGGAGAGGGAGAGGGGGTGGGGGGATGCAGCGGGAGATGGAAGTCTTTCGTTGGGAGCAGCCAGACGGTGCAGACGGTCCTGTTGGACTTGAAGGAGAAGGGGCCCACGGACCAGGATAGACAAGTGTCGTACGCGGACGTAACGAAGAAGCTCGGGCAAGCCGCGAGTATTTTGTCTGATCGCTTTTCTCCGCCAGTCGCCGTAGCCCTCGTGGACCAATTTCTGACGATGGTCAATGTGCAAGCAGGCGGGGTAGGAACTACAACGACGGGAGGGCGGGGGGCGGCTCTCTTCATGGCCAACCCTGGAACTGTTCGCCTGCCCGCTAGGACAAGTAATAAAAGACGACCTGGCGCTGCAGAAAGATACACAAGAGGGGGTAGCAAGAGAGCCGCGACTTCGGGGTCCCAACTCTAGTTTCGGTGTTGCATACTTTGGGGTACGTGAGTAGCGGTACGCGGCCCTAGGTTTACGACGTCACCGGGGCATATGCCTGAACGATGTTTTGTCCCCCCCCGGCGGCAGGTCAAGGCTCGGTGTGTTGTTTATTTTTCGCTTCGGCGTTTTTGCGCCGATCGCCGTCTGTGATGTTGTCGATTTTGTGTTTGTATGTCTATTTGGTTGTTGCGGTGTAGCGTTCGATGGGGCCATCTGGTTCCTGTCCTGTTTTTATTTCTTTTGTTCCATTTCCTTTTCTTTTCTTTCTTCCGCCCCCTTTTTTGCCGTGTTGGGGTCATATCCAGGTCCTTTCATTTTTTTGGTGGGGGTCAGTCTATCATCAAATCGCTGTTGGATATTGATTGTTCTGTTTTGTTTTTTTCTGCGTCTATCTGTGCTTGTCGACCTGTGTGCTCTGCGAAGAAAACCGTGTGAGCCGCGTCTCGAGTTTGTTGAGCGGGCCTGCGGTGTGCGAACTAAACGATGCCTACAGATTTTGACGGCCCCATGATGACTGACATCCATCACGGCAGCACCGTGCAGCAGGTTATATCTACCAAAAAAAGAATACTGCTGTATGTAGTTCACAAAATCTACAGCAACAATTGCTTGCAGCAGCAGAAACGCACAACAACAGCAGCACCACACGCGGATAGACACACACACAGAGAGAGACGAGCACTCCTCTAAGTACGGGGCGTTGTGTGTCGTCGTGTCCTCCTGTTCCTCTGAGGCCTAGCGTCTCCTGGGCATCCCGGGTGCGAAGGGTGGCCTTGGCGTGAAATATGTGCCAGTATGGCAGTATGGACTGTTGAGGCTGTTGCTGCAGACGAGAGCTCTGCTTCCGAAGACAACGGGCGTTAGATCCAGGCTCCGAGATAATATTGAATTTGAGAGGGAGAGAGGAGAACCTCTTCGGGGACACTCCGGGCGGTTTCCCGGGGTTTCGATCCGTCCGGATGTTTGGACTGTGGTTCTCTTTTATAATCCATGGATTGCAAATATTCGCGCCCATCAATTTCGCCGCTGCGTTGGCTCGCTGGCTCGCAACGGCTGCTCGCTGGCTCCTTTTCCTCGATGTTTAGATGCACCTTTGCGACGCCGATTGCAAGCGTATCCGACTTGTGGGTCTACAAGACAGAACGCGGCTGAACAGGTGTGCGCTCTACCACCTTCGACGGATTTGGTGGTGACAGCAGTCACACCTGCAACCTTGCGCAAAAGCAGGTGCGGAAAAGCCAAGATCTCGCAACCTGCTCTTTTTTCCCCCTGCCCCTGGGTGTTTTTTTTACTTTATAAAAAAAAAATGCACAGACACACACAACAAATTGCCACTGACTCATCTGGCTCTGAAACCAACAACGGCAGCGTGCACCGTGCACCGGCTTCCTCGGACCAGAAACATCCCAGCACCAACATGGAGTACACGGCCGTCGGAGACATCCCCGGAATCGTGGACACTCTTCGCGAGGCGTACCTGTCGGGAACCACGAGGTCTGTCTGTGTCTGCTGTGATCAAAGTTTGCGCAATCCTCCCGCTTTCGCGTACACTGCAGCACGCCCGCCGCCGGCAATTTTGTTATCCGTGGAAATATCGTTCGACTAGTGGGTTTATCTCGAATGGGTAGTCTTTCTGTGTGTGTTTTTATTATTCCTTAAATCGTTGTGTACGTGCATATCGGATTTCCCTTCAGCAATTTGTTCAAGAGAATCAACACCGGACGATCCCAGTTCATGTTCTTGTGGGTCGCTGCTCACTGTTCCCAAATGCAAGAGGCAAGGGTACGCCTGCGCTCTCACGAAACACCGACCCGTATACCTAAACCCAAGCCGGTCGCCCCGGTGGTCTATAGGTGGTATCCTCGAAACCTTCTAGAGGTCAGTCAGGGGTTCGAATCCCGGCGTAAGCGAGCTTTTCTTGCAAAGTGAGTTTTTCTCTCGCTTCCGCTCCTGGCCTATCTAGTGGATAAATTAGCGCTAGTTCGTGTGTACACAGAGGGAAGAGAGTGCTGAACTCTTCTCGCATTAAAAATCGAAGGCTAAGAACCGCAGGAGGGGAGGGTAGAGAGGGGCTCTTCTGTGTGATCACGGGTTGAAGTAAAACGGGACTAGTGCTGTGAGCGCTGATTTGAAGTGAAGACCAAAAAAAAAAAAAACGTACGTGCGCATGCTTGTGTGTGTTGATGTATTAAGAAAGAGGCGGTGCGGGGTAAAAAAGAGCGAGATTCAGCACTTTCTCCCACAACATCGCCGCCATCATCTTTGTTTACACACGCACGCGTCAAAGGTCAAGTCAGGGGGGAAAAGTCACAGCACAGCACAGCCCCCCAGCGAGGTTAGACTCAGTCAAGTCTAGGATTGGGTACGCGATAGACGAAGGTGCCGGTACGCACGGACATTCCGCGTTGCTGCCGAAGGAAGCGCTGGAGCGGAGCCGGGATCTTGATCTGCGGGATTGGCGGGGTACAACCCGTCAATAGGCGGAGAAATGCCCCGTCAACCCCGCGACCGATTTTCAAAGCTCCATTGCTCCGCCACCACGGTTGTGCCAACACCACACGTGGTGGTTTTGGAAAACACCTCGTGGTTGGCTTTCCCTCGACATATCGGGCTCTTTCCACACCCCTTGGTTGCGGAGCAATCGAGCTTTGAAAGTCGGTCTTCATGCACGGGGGGGGGGGTCCCATGTCTCCGTCTCTTGCGGGGAGGAAACACAACAGTAGTGGTAGTAATACCAAAGCACAGAGCAAATGCAGAGCTAAAGTAAAATGTGTGGGTTTCGTTGTTTTGAGTTTGTTTGTTTTTCCCTGGTTTTGGCAGGGCATATCGACGTGCGTACATGTATAGATAGACAATACCAGGGAAATCATACCAGGTACTACTGCTGTATGCTGTACTTTGGCATGCATATATCTGCCGGGGTGCAAAAGTCCGTGCATTTGAACAGCGGGACAGCCCCGTCGACGCTATTATAAAATGGCAACAGACACACCCCCTTTCTTGCTTTCGGTAAGAGAGCAAGCAAAACCCTCGGTTGTGGTTGTTCGCTCGTGCACGGGGAAGACGTTGGCCAGTTTCGTTTCATGTGCCGTTGCCCCCAAGCTACAACGTACCCCCCCCGGTCTTTCTTCTCGCCATCAGCGTCTGTCGGTGGACACGTTCTTCGTTAGCATGCATATCAGAGGTATCAAATAATTTGGTTCGCATTTGTATGTATCTACTCACAGACTCAAGAAAGGCGTGAATGTGGAGATTTAGGTTTAGGTCATCGCAGACCAGAACAACAGTTGATGGTTGCCGAAAAACGGCCAAATTTTATCCCCCCCCCCCGCCCCCTGTGTCCGAAACACCACCACAACGCATAAAAAACACGAAAGGTCGCTGGAATGGCGAAGGAAGCAACTCAACGCCCTCCGTCGCATGTGCGAGGAGAACGAGGACGCCATGGTAGACGCATTGAAGAAGGACCTTCGCCGGTGCTACAACACCGCGGTCACGTACGAGCTGTGGGACATCATTGCGCAGGTGGGGCGTCTTGTTAGTTCCAGCGGCGAACCCGAGAGTAACAGCAGTGCAGCGAGGAGTGAAATTCACTCCCTTGCATGTCATTGATGTTGTTGTTCGTTGTTTGTCGTTGTTGTTGTTGTTGTTGTTGTCTTCACATTAACACCCGTTCCGATCTCTCCATCCAGTACCTTCTTCTGTCCGTACTATTTTCAACACTTGACGCGGTCGATTTCCCGTAGTCATGGATGATGTGCGTTTGTAACACTTGTGTTGGTGACGGTGGTGGGTGTTTGCTGCTTCTGTTGTATGTCGCTGCCGTTGTCGTCGTTGGCGTGTTTGTCCTTACCCCCCCCCCCCCCCCTTGTTGTTTGTTTTCGACTTCCTTTTTTTTTTGGTCAGATCGGCTACATGGAGGACAACTTGGAGAAGATGGCCAAGAACGAGAAGATGCCTGCGCCGCTGGCACTCAAGCCCCTGTCGTTTGAGGTTTGCAAAAAAACGCGGAAGCGCGCGTTGTCACCGTAGCTGCCCCGACTGCTGCAGCAGCTTGGGGGGCGCGTCTATTTGTACACATGCTGTGCGCTCGTGTTGTGACAACATTGTTGGAGGGAGGTGGCGTTGGTGTCAAGACTCGCTAACCTGGTGCACCCGCCCGGAAACGCATCGCTTCAGTCTGCGGAACCCCTCGAAGTGATGCTTTTTCTCCTGTTTTCTTCATTTCACAGCACGAACCGTCCTGGCCTTTGTCAGCCGTTATCTCCTGTCCCACCTTCTGGCCCAAAACCGCTTCAGGAGAGGGCCTGGGTGATAAGTTTGGGGAGTGGATGCAACGAAAAAACAATCAGAGAAGTAATTATTTGTGCCTGTCGCTGGCATATTTCGACCTTTAACCTGCGGCGTTGCCTCGACCCTCTCTGTCGGTCCCTTTTTTTGTTTTCCTTGTCCAATTTTTCTTCCTTTCACTCGCTTTTGTTGACCGATAACCTTCGTTTGGCCTGTGACCGTTTTTTTGCCAATAATGTTTTTACCTTTAATAACCTGTTTTTTGCCGATTACCTGCGGCCTCGCCTCGCCTTGCCTCTTTGTGTCGGATCCGATTTTATGTTGTATTTATTTTTTTAGGTATGGAAGGAGCCTTTCGGGGTGGTGACGATCATAGCTCCGTGGAACTTCCCGTTCTCGCTGCTCCTGAACCCCGTGGCGGGAGCCCTCGCGGCGGGGAACACGTGCGTGCTCAAGCCGTCCGAGGTATCGTCCGCCTCCGGTCAGCTCATTGCGGTGAGATTAAGAGAGAGACAAGGGTGGGTGGGAGGGAAAGGGAGAGAGGGAGAGGGCAAGGGGGAGAGGGAGAGGGCAAGGGGGAGAGAGAGAGAGAGAGAGAGAGAGAGAGAGAGAGAGAGAGAGAGAAAGAGAGAGAGAGAGAGAAAGGGAGAGAGAGACGGGAAGGGAAGGGAGATGCGAAGAAGCGGTAAGAAGAGCTCGATTGCTCCGCAACCAGGGGAGCACCAATATGCCCAACAAAAATTGATGTGGAGAGTCATATCCAGTAGCGTGTTTACGCTCCCCCCTCGCTTTCGTCTCACAGGCGTGCGGGTGCCGTAAGGTAGGCTGCACGAGCGCACACACAGCATACCGCGCGTAACACATCGGCACGTTCATGCACACCCACGAAGGACCTCGGGCAGCCGTAATTAGTTAACCTTGGCGATGTGTTACTTTTCGCCGCGGCTGCTCCCGTTCATGGGGTCATCGCCAACAGCCTTCCCGGTGATCTCACCCGGCGCCGGGCTGCACGATGATGACGGGTTTCCAATAGGCGGGAAACTAGACTGCTGGATGTAAGGGTTAAGAGCACCCCCCCCCAAAAAAAAAAAAAATTGCTCGGGGTCCCCTTCGGCCCATCATACGCGTCTTTCTTTCTTTTTTTCTCTTGTTGCCTTTCCCTTGACCTGGTTCTGTATCGCGTCTCCCGGCCTTACCCGTGCGCTTGCCTCTCCAAACCTGATGATGTTACTGTCTGTTTGCCTGGGCAGCTTCGCATGACAATGCTTCTGTATCGCGTCTCCGCCCGTGCCTTTGCGCCTGCCTCCCAAACCTGCTGCTGGGAACTGCCTGCCTTCCTGCCTGTTCCCGCCTCCATAATCACCCGCGCAGGAGTTGGTGCCCAAGTACCTGGAGCCTACAGTGGCCAGAGTCGTGACCGGGGGGGTTGCTCAGACCACTGAGCTGTTGGCGCAGAAGTGAGTTGGGCGGGGACGGAGGGAGGGCGTCCTCCTGGGCTTTGCATGCCTTGGTTTGTTGGCGTGTTTTTCGTTTCCTGTTCGCATCATGCCTTCAGGGTCACTCTTTGCTTGCTCGCGTGCTTTCGTTTCCGTTTCACATGATGTTTCAGGGTCGACAGCATCATGTACACGGGCGGGGGCAAGGTGGCCAGGATCGTCATGGCCGCCGCAGCGAAAAACCTGACCCCGGTCACGCTAGAGCTTGGCGGCAAGTGCCCCACCTACGTCGATGAGGTGCGTTGCTGTTGGCAGCGGGGGTGGTGATGATGCTGTTGTTGGTGTTGGTGCAACATTGAATTCAGGCAGCTGTCGTGACCGGGCATTTACTCGCTAAATAGATTCTCAGCGCATTCGCCTGCACAAAGATCAGTAGCCTTGGCAAGGCCTTTTCAGTGATGTAAACATGTTGTACAAAGCATGCCTTCGGGGAAGTTGGGTCAGGGTTGGGGCTGTTAGAGGTAGGGTCTGCGTACCCCCGCCCTGGTCTATTCAAGTCTATTTTCCTCGTTAACTTATTTTCTCGCAAACGCGGCCCGCAGAGATACGCCACACCCGCCCAGACACAGACAGCCTCATCGTCCTGGCTGACGTGCCCGCCGCCCTTCGCTGTTTGCCGCCGGCCACGATCTTGCTCCCGTGCTCACCTGCAACCGCGACCCTTGGCCCTCTTGCGCGCGTATGTGTCTATCTTTGCGGGTGTGCGTGGGCTTTTTTGGCGCGGAACGATGCGAATGGAATGGAACGGAACGACGCGGAATGGGATGGGATTCGGGGCGGGGGGGGGGGGGGGGGGGGGGGGCCAAAACGCTGAATTTAAGGGTGGCCCCCGGGGCCACCCCCAATACAAAAAAGGCAAACCCCGGCAAATGGGGCTTTGGCCCGAACCCCGGTTGGTCCCCCCCAAGGGTAAAACCCCCCACCTTTGGGTTTAGGGGTCACCCCACAAAAAGCCAGGGTGGCCCGGGGGAATCCGGGAATTGTTTTCCCGGTGCCACATTTTCTGGGGAAGGAATTATTTTTTTTTTTTTGGAACAAACGGGGGGGGGGGGAATACCCCACCGGGGGGGAAGTTCCCCCTTTTCTTCTTCCCCCCGCCCCCTTTGAAGGTTTTGGAAAAAAGGGCTC